AAAAAAAACAATCGTAACTGTGTCGTAATCTGAAAATGTATGTGCATGGTCTACTACTTTTTTATGCTATTATAACTTTAGTAACTCCACAAAAAAATTGTGTTGGCATCTACAAATATCGTGTGTGAGTCATCGAACATTATAGGAGTTTCCCGAGATTAAAAAAAGTTAAATCTCGAAGTATTTTCGATTACATTTCGAAATTATAATTGAGTGATCACCAATTTATAACACAAAAGTCGTTTTTTGGGGTCACAAAAACTAGTTGATGATAACATAATCATTGTATAAATATATCGGGTGGAAAAAATGTTTCAGACAAATATTGTGAGGCACCGAGGCGGCCATTGAAAGGTCCATATTACGACTTCAGGTCTAGACCGGAAGTGGTGCTTTTAGACCGGAAGTCGATTTTTTCAAATGGAAACACCCATTTTTCAGCACGGATTTCCATTGGAAATCAACAAATGATATTTTATACGAGTTCAATTTTGGTAGGAATCGCAGGACGATAAATAGGTCAGATATAGAGGAGGGTCCATTTATAGTTAGACACGCTGTATAATATGTTGTGGAATGATCTGGACTTTGTGATTGATAGAGTTTCCGGATGTTAACGCAAATATTCCAAGAATCACTTGAATATTGTTGAGATTTGACATAGCTATTTATTACCTTTCTGAGTAAACGGCCTGGTCCATCTCAGTGCCAAAATGAAATGTTCCGCTCTATCCCACATAACTACCAGACCAGCACCCATAATTATTTGGTTCGACCGGAAGTCGACTCAACCTGTTTTCTTTTTCATTTCTTGACCTATTATCAATCGATTATTGAATGAAACACGTTTGGCAACACTGCGAAGGGATATTGATTATGCTGTCGGTTTCACTTTGCTACTTGAACGAAGTTTCTTTATGGAAGGAATGTAGACTGTTTTGTATTTTATGCGCCGATTTCGTCTTAATCTTATAAAGGAATATAATATCAAAAAATTAAGATGGTAATAGGAATATTCATCTATACTAATATTACTAATGTTTGTTGATTGATTAGTCCTTTCCCCTGTCACAGAAAAAAATAGTATATTATACACGTGAAAAATATTAGATTTTTTCTCACTGTTTATTGTCTCGAAACCGGTCTGCAGGTAGTCACACGTTCCTGAACCAATTAGGCGCAGCTCGGCGTTTAGGAGGATTTTATTCGTCCATATACAAATTATTGCATAGATTTCGGGGAGATGTAATTCAATGTTCTGCGTGCAATATAGCCAGAAAAGTAGTTGTTTTTCTATCGTTATTTACCAATCTGACTTTGAGCTTCGCGTATTTATTTAAATTTCGAGCATTTTGGCTTCGATTTTATCACTTGAGTATCAAATCGAATTTTTTGGAAGCCCAAACTTCCTCCACTTCATTTATCTAAATACTGAATTGATCCGATACCTACGTGATTTCAGTCTTATCTTTTTTTCATACCGTGTTTAATTCGTATATCATCCATTATAGTCTTTTAGGAAACAAAGTTACCTTTATATTTTTTCCAATTTGATTAGGCTATCGTCTCGAATTTTCAGACGTATAATGATAATTTCGTCTATATAGAGAGTAGAATGGTTAAAAATTTAGACCAACCAAAAAATGTAAAAGTGGAGCTTGTATATGTTACCGTGAGATTCTCTTTTGTACATATATTTATGCCAGAAATGCAATAAAAGTAGTTGGCACCAAGAGATCTTGGGTTCGAATCCATCTGTAAAGTTGCTTACAACTTCGAATTTGCCGTCATATTAGCAGGATTGTGCGTTTTAATGCGGGATATCTACTCCCTAGACGCTAGTTATAATAATAATAATAATAATACTCTTTATTCCAGAGACATACCCACAATACAATACAAAAATGTAGATTGTTTGAGGATACAAAAATGGCCTAGTGTCAAAGAAAGAGGAACAGTAACTATGTGTCTAGATAGGTACATAACTAGATACATTAATAGCAATTTTCAATTCTCCAAGTAATCTTGAATACTGTGGGGTTCAATCTCGACAATCAATTTCCTAGTTGCTTTCTTGAAATTTTTTAAAGTGGTTATACCTTTCATATCGTTCGGGAGACTATTGAACATTTTCAAACACATATAATAAGCACTTTTTTCAGTTAATGTAAGTTTATGACGAGGATAGCTAACAATGGTATTTCTCTTTTTATATGTATGCAATGGATATGAATCAGCAAATACTGTAAATCTATTTTTATAAAAAATAATAGACATTCATAAATATAAATACTAAGTGTTGTTAATAAGTTTTTTGCACAGCTCTCTCTATAATCCATTGTATGCATCACTCTCACAATTCTCTTCTGTACAACAAACACTTTTTGAATACCAGGATTACCTCCCCAAAAGTTTATACCATATCTAATTTGAGATTCAAAATTTGCTAAATACATTATTCGAAGACTTTCTATATCCAAATACTTTCTGAGAACCCTGAAGCTATAACAGATTTTGTATAGCTTCAGACAGACACTGCGTCAATATGCTCTCTATATGTTAAATGCTGATCTATGTGTATTCCTAAGAATTTCGTACTTTCCACAATTGACTGCTGCTTGTCTAGAATTGTGATAGCCTCGGCTTCAGCTAATGATAAGGGTTATTCGATATTGGATTTTTCACGAAAGATCATATTAGCCTAGGTGACGGAGGGTTCTAAAAATCGAAAAGAACTCTCTCTGAACTACATGTCGGTATGGAAGTTTGTGCAAAATAATTGATATTCTATCTCCATATTTAAAGGTATTCGACCATGAATGAAACAAAAATTTTACCTGTGACGCATTGTTCTTCGGGAGATATCCCACCCCGAACAAAACAAAACTCGCCGCCCCTGATTGGCAGTGTTGGAAAATTATAGGAGAGGAATGTTATTTGTTATTCTCTCGTACATATAATTACTGTCAATAAATCAGTATGAATGTTTTTCAAATAAGCTCGCAAAAAATAAATCAATCGACCTCAAAACGTGAAAATGTGATGCATTAATTCTCACGAATCAAAACAATACCATACCTACCTAGAGTTTTTTACGTGCTTCGAGGCAATATTTACGTTATTGTAATAATCATTGTAGAAAAATTAATACAATTAACTCTGAAACCAACAATTACGCAACATTTTACTCAATATTGAAATATTTCGCCTTTGTTTTAAATAATATTCGTGTTAGTAGGTCAATCGATACATTTTAAACAATTTAATTGTTACTTTATAATCATCGTGCTTCTAACCTAGGTGGGTTCTTCCAGCCATGAAATTCTCATGATCATCGACTAAATGAAAACGTATTTTATAATCAGTCAGAAAACATTGAATATGTGGTGTGAAATTGTTACATTCCATGTAAAACGAGCCACCCTGGATTACTTTCGGAATCGTTATTTTTTGAAAAATTGCAAAAACATCATGGTATACTGCAAATTTGGGAAAAGACCCATTTTTTCGCCCATAAAGTTCTACACTGTAGCCTGACGTCACCACCGTGAAAATGCGCGTGTGGAAGGTACACTGCTGCCCAATTAAATCGTAACGACTCGTGTGATGATTTTATCGGGATATCAGCATGTGCTATCTTTATACGACCGCGACGGTGGGTAGTTTCCTAGACCTAAATCCTATCGCTTCGTGGTATGGTGTGAAAAAGCAAGTAGGATGAGTAGTGAAAATTTATTCTATAATTTGGTTCAATATCATTTTAAAATATGATAGTTTGGGAACTTGTGACATAAAAGACATGAGGTATCTGAAGAAATTCAATATTGTCAGAGTTTACGATTCTGGATATTCATTCTTCTGGAAATGTCGGTAGCTAACATTAAATATAAGAGTTGAATCTTCTATTGCTCAATCTGGAAGAGACATTCAACTTCATCTTATCACTTCAGTTTTTTCACATGTGGTTCTGCCTCGGATAGTAAATACCAAACGTTTAGTTAAATAGGCGCCAGTCACCACATTCATATGATAATACCACAACAAAATTATATAATACACTTTTATTGCCGTCGATCAAAATATATTTAAAAAAAAACTTCGAGATCATTCATTTTGTGTAACCTTTAGAAAATTCTTGAGAATCTGACATTCACATAGCAATATGTGTGTATAATCTCTGGCAATATCAAATGCTGAATTAGGTTTCATAGCCTTCGCCATTTCCATCATAATCAATATCAAAAAGGATTGGTATAATCTTGAAACAAATACTGCTCAAGTTCTTGATAATTGAATGCATCCAAAGTACTTGAATCAGGTCATAAAGGAGGTGGACCCTTGGGTAGATCGACATTGTGCCTAAACGATGAATAGTACATGGTCTTGAACAAAATATATCAACATAACCCAAGAGTCGTTACGATTTATTTGGACAGCAGTGTACATCTACACACGGATAGTTTATACACTTATTTATTATTATTCAAAATCTTTAGAAATACTCTTTCTCATAATTGTTGACGTTATAAACCGGCAGGCATCATATCTCATATTCCTCAACATACAATAAAACCACATGGCACACAGAGAGAATTAATTTCCAACGAGATTTCCAATGTGGAGATGTTCTTGATATTGTTTAAATTTTTGTTCAATTATCAGTATGAAATATCTCGTTAGTTATTTAATGATTTTTGTTGGAAAAATGCCTAGGAGGTTTCCCTAATTATTGCCCATATTCTTGTAATGTAGTATGCGCAAATATTTAGTTTGATGAGATTTGGTTGCTCGTTGCTCGCTAAAAAAGCTGAGAAGTATGGAGCTGAAAATGCGATTGGCCTAAGAGATACATAAATATACAGTAGTGTTTTTTGACTTGATAAATTATCTATCGAAATTTTATCGATTTTTTAAAATTTTCGGGACTATTTTTCACAAAAAGTAGCTACCCGTAGTTTTTCCCATGTAGCATATAGACTAATTTTGGATTGTTGTTGCAGGCTTGGCCCATGTGAGCTGCAGGACCCGGTGTGGGCTAAGATGAGTGCCTTAGCCGCCGGAGTCAACAAGAAAAGGAAAAAGTCTGAAGCGAAGCCGCAGGCGCAAATGTGAGTATAAAGATCAGAAAAATCCTTCATTCAGCTCAGTTCTATACCTATAAGAATCATATTAGACTCAATATCATGTATACAGGGTGTTAACAAATAAGTGTCACAACGGAAAACTTTAGATTCCTCATGAAAAAAGAAACATTGTTTCCCTTTCGAAATTTTTCTCCAGGCTTCCGTTTTCAAGATACAGGGCGTCAAAAAAATACAAAACATTCCGTTTTTTGCTACTATCTTAGGGACCGTTTGAGCTACGGAGTTAAGCCTTCGTATCAATAATGACTACTTTTAGGGCTCTTGGTCAATTTCCTTGGACATGTCAGTGGAGGAGAATTCAACGCCTCGTAAGGGTTTAACCCCCCAAACGTTTATGCCACTAGAGAAATTGTGATGTTCAAAGTAGATTCTGAAGCGCCAATATCTTTCACACAAAGAACGTCCTCTTGTCTCAATGCTCTAAAGTGAACAGTTTCCGCGAAAAATGGCTCTTTATGAATAAGAACATACAGAATCCTGATGGTATCTCCAGATATCGTCTAAAAATCCACTGGAAATAAACACCTCAGAACTGTCTAATAATATATGTTCAATCAGATTTCAGGTTCTTGAGTATGCTAGTCTCGATGCTAGTTTTCAAATTGTCAATTATTAAGTGTTGTAAAGTGTATTTAAATAAAACTGAACATTTTAGATTTTTCGACGCCCTGTATCTTGACAACAGAAGCCCGGAGAAAAATTTTGAAAAAGAAAGAAATGTTTCTTTTATTATGAGGAATCTACAGTTTTCCGTTGTTACACTTATTTGTTAACACCGTGTATATGTACCCACCTACAAACGACACTTACCAACTGTTGAGCCGCGTTCTAGTTACATATTTTGCCTTTCTCCGAAAACTTGAATAACAAGAACACTCTGTTCACATTGAAAAGATCTCGGAATAATAATTTACCTAGCAAGTGCGGAAAGTAGTACTTTTCCGCACAGACATCAAGGGTGGAAATGACATTTTCGGCAAGAGTTAGGTACAATGGTTTTCCTACGAGTGTTTTTGTCCATATCATTTATGGAAAAAAAAAGGTTTCTAACGAACAAGATTTTATATTAATGCTACAAAATGACACATAAGAATAGTTACATAGATTAGTCCTAAATATCCTCATTTTCAACAATTTAAAAATCATGCAGTAAAGTAACATTCCAGATCTAGTTTAATTAAGTAAATTTTTCGCACGATTTTATCGATTTATCGTGCGGAAAAGTAAAATTGTACGAAACAGTACAACTTTCAAAACAAAAGGTTATTTTTGCACACGTTCGTAAAAAAAATACAGGAATTCAGGTTTCGAACATTTATAGATTCAGCAAGAGTTGTTGAAAAAAATTAAGAATCTCCACAACTTTATGAATTAAAAAATCAAATCAGAGACATGCTTTGGACATACTATGAGATGTCCATTATCAGCTTATGTTTGAGAAGTTCTGAAATATAAAAACAACCACATAATGTAAAACGAGATGTAAAATGATTTTTTTTGTCAAGGGTACTCACATGTGTATGTAAAAAGTTGAATAATGTATATAAGAAACATAATTATTAGTTATTTATGTATCAAGGGCGTAAAATATCAACTTTTAAACTCATCAGCTATGGCACATGTTGCAATAAATATATAGAAAAATTGAATATTTGACCATCTAGCAAGCTTCATGCAACCGGCTCTGTGTCTTAGGGCATCATCTATAATCAAAATTTCGAACGAAAAACATATCTACTTCAAATCTTCAAATCTACAAAAGCAATACATGGCAGTTGATAAAATATGATAATGTTTGTTGGTGACCGTGAAGTCAACAGCGATGTTATTGACTAAAACAGCAAATTTAACCAATATTTTATCATGCATGGTTTTCCAATCTATATTGCAACACACAGAAAAGGAAGGAGAAACAAATAAGTAAATAAATTATTTCATTCAAGTTGTATTTTTAGCGACACCGATTCTAGCATTTCTAGCACCGTTCTGATATTCTTACAGTTAAAGTCGAGGTTGAAGTTAAACATTCTTAAATGTTAACTTTTTCCGCGAAAAGTTGGACTGTAACCAACTTCTTGGCTTTATGACCTCGAAATGCGCTTACAGGCGAACCAGCCAAACTACGACGTTTTATTGTTTTATTGGTCACTCATGAGATATGAGAACACTAGCTTTACTAGTTGAACATTTTCTCGTGTAATTTACGTCAAATTCACCTACCAGTGTCACTTTTGTCACGAGTTTTTCCTCTTTTGCTTCAACGGTCAAATTTCGAATAGCCGGTAAAATGTGGAAAGTACATAATGGATAAACTCAACATAGCCTTGTTATGTTTATTCTTGTTGGTTTTAGGTTATAAATTTTCGATATTTATTCATGAGTTGAATAAGATATTTTCATGATTCCATAAAACGCAGTTATAACTTCAGTTCACGTCACTCACTTGAAACTGTCGTCAGCTCGCCACAGAACTTGAAGTGTCATCCTAAGACAGCTTCCAAATTGCGCCACTAGAGGCGTGCTCACCATCACTTGTTTTGGATAGAATTTTATTGCTTGTCAATATCTGAGCTTGTCAAGTACAAAGTGATTATGATTCGATATAAAAGTCTTAACGAGAAAACTCATCTTGTAAATTGAACAACATTGCATACGCCACCAAGATTGATAATTATTAAAATCCTAATTTATTATGCAATCCGCACGGAAATTTGTACGTAGGTCCGAGATGCTACAGGGTAGGAAAAATACATAAGACAAATCATAGATTGTATCCATGCTGTCCCCTAATTTTCGTTTGAAAAAAATAACTTGCTGTGGAATTTTTTTACAAAATACATAAGGTATATCCCCGATTGATTCATGCTGTCCCCTGAATTTGTCGCATCAATTTTTCCACATTTTCACTCCAAAAAATTAAGAATTCGGAAATCTGTCATCTGTCAAGAAATATCTTGTCATAGATTTATTGTCATGAAATAAATGAGGCATAATATCTAGTGAGTTCATGCTGTTCCCCGATTTTGTCGCATCAATTTTACCGCACTTTTCACATAAAAAATTGTCAAAAAAAATCCATAGCAAGATATTTTTTTCCTAATGAAATTGACAGATTTCCGTTTTGTTTTCAGATTTTAGGGGTGACGGCTGGGTCTAATGAACAGGTGATATATCAACTCTATTTATTTTACTACTGCTAGGCGTCCTTATTGATGAAACCACCTGTTGCCAGATATTTGATTTCTAAAATGCAAAATATTACTACACGGGCTGCTTTACCGGACCTTTCGTCTTGCTGGCTTCACACCAGGAGGTCTCCTCAAGAGTGATATGGCTAGTGTAAACTCGCCTGGTGTTCAGACCAATGGCTAACGAGGCCAAACAGTCCCCATGTCAATCCGCTGTATTCTCAACTGGAATGCACTCCTGGTGTTCCTGTCTACCTTGCGGAGTAGATTAGATTTAGAGTGGGGCCTTCGGGCTATTTGAATCCACACCGCGACCTTTTCAGATCTATTGTGTCTGCCCTTAAAATCGTTTAGAGTTCTTTGGCTAGCCCCGCCTTCTCTATGAGACTCCATTGGCTAGCTTTCAGATTCCCTGTGCTCTTGGATTTTCCTCGCCCAGCGTAAGGAACCTCAGTCTTGACAAGCTTGTACTGCTGTTTCCTCCTCTTCCTGACAGAACCTGCACAGCATTTCTTCAGTCAGACCTATCGTACTCATGTGTTTGTTGAGCCTACAATGCCCTGTAATAAGTCCCACTAGTATTCTAGTTGTACTTCGTTTCTGGCTCAGTAGATATTTTGTAAATGTTGACGATGGTTTTTTAATAAACTCTTTTGCCTGTCTCATTCCTGGCCAGTTGTTCCACCATTCTTGAGATTTGGTTTGCATCCATGATTCGATATTTGTCTTTTCTATAGCTTTTCGCAGTACCACAAAATGGTTCTGAGCCATTCAGAGCTTTGTTTGCTCCTGCTGGGGCAAGTGAGTCTGCCTCTTCATTGCCCTCGTACCTTGTATGTGCTGCAAGATGTGCTGGTACACATGCTAGAGTCAGTCTGTTCTGACTGCCCAGTTCATTCAGGGTTTCTGAGCAGTCCCATACTAGCTTTGAGTTAACTGCTTTAATTGCCGCCTGGCTATCCGAATAGATTGCAATGGTTTTCGCTTTAAACTCTTGCCTTGTCAATTCTACCTTCCGCAGTCAGTAGCCACATTACTAGAATAGACTGATATACCCTAAGAGTTGAGATGTTCTTATTTTCGTCGGCTGATGAGGCCTGGTGAGCCGAAAAAGGATTGTCTTGCTGTTGCTGACAATCGTTGATTGGGACAACGCGTAAAACCGTATATCATTTCTATTGGGATGAAAACCTCATCTATCAGTTTACTGAGTTATTGGATAGTATTCTACGATGATTACGAGGTGGTGCTTCAAGGCTCTCCTGCATGATTCATATCCATGAGGCATGACGAACGCATACACGACTGGGTACACACACACACACACACACACACACTTCGCCCGATTCTTGATGATGTTCTGCTAACTTAATTCCATATAAGTTCCAATATCTTGGTTTATGACGAATGATGATGATAGGTTGCACGATATTATTTTAGGAGTGTGAACCCATATAAGTAACGTAATGCGGCAATCGAGGCGGCAATTTAATAATTAATAACTGGAATAGCGAGTAATCAGTCTGCTATACTATTGACGACATTACTAAATGAATATATACACGGTGGTCCAAAATTGTCTCACGGTTTCTTCCTGTCTGATAGTGAGTAAGTACTCTTGGTACTCTTCTATGATATTATTCCAAAATGTTGATACAACTTTGGAGGGGGTTATGATGAATATCAATTCTTTAGGTGTACACCGCAAATTGCCTATAATGCCTTTGGGGAAACACTTCCTAAACTACATAGAAATTCCCGGGCTTCCTCGAACTT